CCCCACACACACATACCAAAAAAAATCAGCTTCCTAATAAACTTTTCCTGCATTCCACTTCAGTGCGTACGGACAATAGCACCAGAGCGAGGTTGGGATGGACATTTTCATACATTTGCTGTATTTTTGTCCACCCTGACCTCTGCTTAATTTGGCATCATTGTTTGTTGGGATGCGGGAAAGGTCCATAATAAACCCAGAGGTTTCCTATAAATTATTGTTAGTTAGCTCATAGAGAACAATAAATTTATTCCTATTACAAAGTAGCTTATGTTTTTCAAAGTTTCAATCCTCATTTGTCAGTACATTGACAGTGCTCTTTTCTAAATATTAACTTTCCAGATATTACATTCCCCTCAAAATAATCCCAACAAGTCTTACAATTATGATCATTCTTGCTAAGAATACCCCCCTCAACCCCTTCAGAAAAATAGCCCATCAAGAAAGCCTTTTGAGCCAAAACAAAAACTGTCGTACTCTTACAGTAGATTTCAGATTCAGTAGAGTCACTAACAACTTCAACTTCCAGATAAATGCCAGTTGCAGTTAAACTGCTTAAATTGTAAAACTACTAAACAATGCTACTTGAACGGTCACATTTTAGTTAACACTTGCCCCAACCAGAACTACATCCTTAGGTAGCACTAAAAAAACTTAACCAAACACTAACACTACTGTACCTGAATCTCGCAAGGCTGGGAAAAACCAGACACCACTGATTTGCACGGGCCACAAAAAAACGCGACAAAATCACAAGGACCAGGGGAGTGTCATTTAAGGGTATTTCCAGCTTAATTCATCATACAATTGCACCATGAAATCAATCATGTTGATTCACATCATTGTACATTACTGAACTGAGCATCACGCCGTCATGACACGTCATGGTCCTGTTAAAAATTCTAACCACAAACCATGAGCCGAAAATTGTCATCGCTTGAAGAGACCCCAAGAGATACACCAAGTCTTTGCTGTATGCAGTTTAGTCTCGCGAAAAAGATTTCAATTGATGCATAACATGATTGCATGGCACTTCATCAAGATCAATTTGCACTGCCTTTATACTTTACACTGAATTTAGCTGCAATTACAGTCAAACTAGACTCCTTGACTCCCTTTAACTTGAGCTGATAATATTAACATTACGGGTTCTTTCTGTTCATAAAAAACGTTTTTTCAATCTATTTGTAACTGAGCTCAACTCCTTTAGTGGAACATACTCAGGAAATTACTGTGCCAATGTTTATTATTCACTTGATGTTGGCAGCACATCTGAAGAAAGCGGTTCAAAGTTTACACATAAACTTGCACCAGTGCTGGTTACAGGAGAATCTCTAAAATAATCTTCAAAATGTTGACTAATAAGGTCCAAAGAATTGACTCCTCTTGTTCTTCACTTTCACTATACTGTCTTTCACTTTCTTCTCCCCCAGAATAATCCATCAAAACTTTCATTGTGTACTTTGTTACGGGAGCATACACGTGTCCAAACACTGATATTCCAATTGGTCTCTTGTAATAACTTGGAATAGTAACAACATCTTCGCCGCAAGTGTCCGACTTCAGGTCATAGTTATCAAAATCAGGTTTGAGACTATCCTGTGATATATAAATGTCAGCATCACCTTCCGTACTCTCCAGAATCAATGTCACATCTCCTTCTTTCTTTAGGGTAAAATAAGTCAAATTTCCAGGGCCTATTTCGCCATAAAAAGTCTGAATAACATGTTCACAGGATGCAAGCCTCAGAAGAGGAGAAATGAACAAAAGGAGCCATAATGTCATCTCCATTGCTGACAGAACATTAAATTCATTCAGTTGATTTCAAATCACACAACAGTGTCCTGAAAGAAAAAAAAATCAAAACAGAAATGGTGGTTTGGATTTCAGACAAGTCTCAGGGAGGGGAAGTAATGATATGGAGAAATATGCCTGGAGGGGGGACTACAAAATGAAAAGGTTGGGGGATGATCATCATCTCACTTCGCAGTATAAATCAAAGATTATGGTCTCACTTGGGATGTTGATGACAAAACACCAAGTGCTATTTTTAGCTGTCAAAATATCTTTTAGCTCCTTTCCTGAACAGCATCTGGTAATCGAGCTTATTCTGTTTTAAGTGGTATCTTTTAGGGGTCAAATAAAGCTCGAGCCATGCCCAGGTTGGTTGACAAGCCTCCTGACCTTTTCATATGGGAGTTCCCCACCCCCCTTCCCGCTGGGGAAACATGACTCCCTGTATAGCGGCAATATGAAAAAAAGAGCAACTGCATTCAAAGCAAACTTTGAAGCTGCCAACACTCCATATTTTGATTTGATCCTGAAGCATGAGTACTTAATGATATGAGTCAATAAAATTACATTTAAATTCATCCACACTTATACTCCTGGCACTGTGAGAGGAAAGTTTCTCTTTCAAGAACACAACACTACAACCCACATAGCACGCAACAGATGACTATCACTTTAAACAGACTTGTAGGGGGCTGTAGACTCAAAGAATTCTGGGAGGTAACAAGTGAAAATGCCCCCAAAACAAAATCCCCCAAGGAAAAAACCCGTTCCTTTCACAGTATGCAGAAAATATTTAATAAACTCATTTGAAAACAACTTCCAACATGGGCAAAACTGGCTGTATATTCCTCATTCTTGAAACGTATCAAGTCATAGGTGTAATTGTTCAAAAGTCAATTCAAAACTTCAGCATCCACCCCTTCTCCCTGGGCAACTCCCTGGGCACTTGACATTTTGAAATTTCATTTGGTTAAATTCCCAATGCCTGGGCCAAAACTGGTGGTCAAATGCCCCCACCTTAAGCCCGGTGGGACATTAAGGCCATTCTAGGCGATTGAATACCCCTAGCCTCAGGAAACATGGGATAACTTGAGTAATGGAAAGGAAAATTCACCCTTAAACAACTTCTTACCCTCAGTTGTGTCCCAAGTTTTGTTTTAGGATGTTAATACTGTGGCTTTTAATGATGCACAAACTCTGAAGTTCAAATCCTAGAATGTTGTTGTCTCTTGATGGCTTATAGCTTCACCATGATCTTGAAGTAAGTTGTTGAAATTCCTCCCTTCTCCTCCCATATCACTACCTTATTTTACTTATCCTCTTTGTCCTGGTTGCGACATAAGACCACAATCATATCCCGCTTCTCCCACACCTCCCCAAATCAACCATTGATGTCAAATTCCTGCCCCCTGAGGCAAATCATCTTGTCAAACACACAGGGTACCTGTATGTTGATGTTGCTATTTGAGTGACACATTACTCCACATAAGTATCTCTGGGATGTTTTAACTTGGGGGATTTTGATCTTCAAGGATATTATTTATCCCTCCTCAGACTTGAGCATCTATATTTCAGAGAACAACTTGCTAACAGTTACGTATCTGCCAACCAATGTCTTAATATGTAATCCATGTACTCTAAGGAATTATTTACTTGTGACTTCAAATGACAAATTGTCAAACAGATCTATTCTTGAATAGATGTACCTTTAGATTCCCAGAAGAAATCATTTAACGACAAAACTGCAGCTCCTAAGACAGTATGAGAGGCAGTTTGGAGTTTTAAGAGATGGGAACGTGTAATGTACGAAATGGAGCAGAATCAATCACGCTGGGACAGATAAAAGAGTCTTATCTCCTCATAAAGCATTGTTTATGGCTGGCTGCATGGTTTGTTTGACATCTGATGACAAATTAAACAGAACATTGATGGGAAATACATCTGAAGTAACTGACAAAATAAGCATTAAATGAATAAATAGTCTTATCGTTAGCGTGCTTTGAGTATTCAAATCATAGAAAACATATTCTTACAATTTACCAAAAGCACCTGACTCTCAAATGCAGAATCGAACAATTGGATGGGCGCAGAAGGTGAAACTTGATTTCCAAGTTAAACTGACGAGAATAACTACTTACCTGCTTCTACGAAAGAGTAAAGAAGAAGTCTTTAAAAACAAGACGATTGACTGTTTCTTTCTTATATCGCTGGCGACAATTTAATGCCTCAAATACTACACAAACTTACTGATGTTTGTGTGAATGAGTTCACATCGCGTTCGCTCTTGCCCAGACCTCCCTCCACTCTCGATATCTCCATTCTCAGTCCCTCCCTTCCTCCAGCGAAGTTTGTTGCTGTCGTTGCACAAAAAAGTTGCACTGACTGGTTGATTGCCTAACATGCTAAGTGAATGCTTGACCCATCGACTGACAGACCAAATCACTAACTGACTGGCCGACTGACTGACTGACTGACTGACTGACTGACTGACTGACTGACCCACTGCTGAATGACTGACCGACTGACTGGCCAGCTGACCTACCTTCCTAACTGTTGTAGCCTTTGCTACAGTTGTTGTTTCTGCTGCTGATTTAAAAGGAGCAAATCGAGCGTTTTCCCCCTACAGCCCAGCGGTTTCCGCATGTGGGACTTTCTTTAGCACATTCAGCTATTTGTCGAATCAAACCCTGTCAAGCGTACGCGACCGAAAGTTAGTATGGGTAGAAATAGAGAGCTGCTACAAGCGCCGAATAACAACATAACAAATGACGCCATTTTTCTTCAGACCTGTGAAAAGAGGGTTCTTTCGCAACACTGAATTTCAGAAGAATTTTCATCTAAGTCATGTAAAAGTGAAAGAAAAGCTACACAAAAAGGGATATCTTATGCATCCTTGCTGATCACTTCAGTTGCAAAAATAACTTAGAATTCGCTATTTCCCCTACCTCCTGCCCCCACCTTTTTTCCACAAATGTCTGTTTTGGAGCCTGCTTCGATGACTTAATGACGCCCCTCAGGCTTCGCGCTCGTCAATCAGACTCTGGGTGCGAACAAAAAGAGAACGCCTAGGGACTACTAAGTTTGGACGAACAGAACGTCCGGTCAAAGATAAGAACGGAAGTGTCTTGATGGGTGCGGATAAACAGCTAGGTAGATGGGCAGAACACTTTGAGGAGCTTCTTAACAGACCAGCTCCAGCAAATACACCAGACATCCCCGCCGCAGAGGAAGACCTGCCAATTGATTGTGGTAAGCCCACCAGGGAAGAAATCAGGAAGGCCATCAAACAACTGAAGAATGGCAAGGCAGCAGGCACAGATGAGATTCCAGCGGAAGCACTCAAGGTAGATCCAGAGATGCTTGCTGAGATGCTCTATGGATTGTTTGAGAAAATCTGGGAAGAAG